CCCCCCCCAAAAAAAGTCACTGTGCCACCCATAAAATACTCAATAATAAAATTTCTACCTCTTTTTGTCAGCATCCAATCTAAAGTGACCACCTGGACTGGGTTGAACAGTGTCCCTTGAAAATATATGTCCAAACAGATCAATGAAACAGAATAGAGCCCAGAAATAGACCTACATAAACATAGTCAGCTGATCTTTGACAAAGGATCAAAGGCAATCCGCAAAGAAGACAGTCTTTTCAACAGAGACCGAAACAACTAGCCATCAACATGCAAGAAAATTAATCTAGACACAGACTTTTACACTCTTCACAAAAATCAACCCAAAATGGATCACATGGATCAAAGACCTAAATGTAAAATGCAAAACTATGAAATTCCTCAAGGGAAACATCATATGAAGAGATAGTCCCATATGTCATCAGGAAAATGCGAATTAAAACAATGAGAAACCGCCACACACCTATGAGAACAGCTAAAATCCATAACACTGACACCAACAAATGCTGGCAAGGCTGTAGAACAGGAACTCTCATTCATTGCTGGGGGGAATGCGAAATGGTACAGCACTTTGGAAGACAGTTTGGCAGCTTCTTACAAAACTAATCTTACTATATGATCAGGCAATCACACTCCTTGGAATTTACCCAGAGGAGCTGAAAACATGTCCACACAAAAACCTGCACATGCATGTTTTACTGCAGCTTTATTCACAACTGCCCAAACTTAGAAACAATTAAGATGTCCTTCAGAGGGTGAATGGATGAATAAAACTGCGGTACACCCAGACAATGAAATATTATTCTGAATTAAAAAGAAATGAATTATCAAGCCACGTAAAGACATGAAAGAAGCATAAATGCATATTACTAAGTGAAAGAAACCACTGAAAAATCTATATACCGTATGATTCCAACTATATGACATTCTAGAAAAGCCAAAACTATGGGGACAGTAAAAAGATCAGTGGTTGCCACAGGTTAGCGAGGAAGGAGATGAACTGATGAGGCAAAGAGGATTTTTAGGGCAGTGAAATTACTCTAAATGATACTATAATGATGTATACCACTACATATTTGTCCAAACCACAGAATGTATTCTGTGTTGAGTGACTTCACCAAGAGTGAATCCTAATGTATAAACTATGGACTCAGGGTGATGATGATGTGTCGATTCAGGTTCATCAATTGTAACAAATGTGCCACTCTGGTAGGAGATGTTGATAGTGCAAGCGGCTGTACCCATATGGGAGCAGGGCACACACGAGAAGTCTCTGTATCTACCACTCACATCTGCTGTGAACCCACAACTGCTCTAAAAAAAAGTAAGTGTATCAAAACAAAATGTCATGTCCACTTGAAAGCTCAGAATGTTACTTTATTTGGAAATAGGGTCTTTGTAGCTATAATCAAGTAAAGATGGAGTTATACTGGATTAGGGTGGGTCTTAAATCCATTGATTAGTGTCCTTATAGGGAGGGGCATAGAGACAAAGGGGAAAAGGCCATGTGAGGACAAAGGCAAAGATTAGAATGATCTAGCTGCATGGGGCACCTGGCTGGCTCAGCCGGGAGAGCATGCAACTCTTGATCTCGGGCTTGTGGGTTCTAGCCCCACATTGGGGGTGTAGAGATCACCTAAAAATAAAATCTTTAAAAAAAAAATTAAGGGGCTATTTAATGTTTAACAGAGATGTTTTTTGTTTTTGTTGCCTGCTCTGTGCCAAAGATAGAATAGGCTCTGAGAAATCAGAAATGAGACTCAGTATTTCCCTCCATTCAGTATCTACATGTATAAGGACAAAATAAAATGTCCTGTCAAAGATCTAGGGAAATCCATACCTTCAGATCACAGGATATTTTAATCAAATAATATGAAACTAGCCTATTAATAATATCTGAAGTCTATTTTGAACTTTCTATACACATTCATCACATATATGGCTTCCACTATACTGTTTAATCCTTGCAACTAGAATGAAGGAGAAAGAAGACAGTTTAAGGAAAATGTAGGAGCAGGGAAAAAAGAGAGACATGCCCTAAACTATAATCGGCTGACCCTTCTATGATCCCTATCTTGATCTCAGCTGCCTTCCTACGTTCTATTACTATAGTCTAGCTGGTGGAAGGGGTACTCATTATTCCCCGTTGAGGTCTACTGGAAACCTGCCAAGTGACCTGGCAGGTGAAATGACAGACTGGGTTGGTAGGAGGGAATAACAGCTAGATGACCTGTGTCTGGAGTCTGGATGTGAGGATTCAAATCTGAATTCATACCCATTTTACCTCATGACTTAATACAAGTTATGTTTAAATGCTGTGCTCCCTTATTCATCTGTAAAATGACGATGATGTGCAGTCCTCTTCCTTAGAGGGTGGTGGTTATGCCAATGAAATGAAACAAGCTACACAGAACACTTAGCTCAGAGCCTGCCATGTAGGAAGCCAATGAAAGTTAATGATATCATGCTTAAGGTCTTCATCATCCTCATCACTTCATGATTTTGGAGGGCTCAGCGACAGTTCAGAGACCGGTTTCCGCCATGGTAGAGCTAGAACCAGTGTGGGAGGAAAGCAGAACTCTGAATGAGGGTTCTTAGATTCTCACTAGAACCAAGAACATAAACTTCGCAGTGCTTGGAGGGAAAACTTTGCATGTTGGTACCCTGCCATCTGTCTAACCCAAATGTCCTGCTTGCCTGACAATAAGGAAACAATGCTCCCCCAGCCCCTCCTCCATCCGCTGTCGCCCATGGCACTCACTGGTTGCACTGTGACTTTGCATGAGCAAGGAGGAAGGGGGCTGCCCCTCTCCTGCCTGGTGAGCAACAATGGCTGAGGCTATGTACCAAGGAATGGCAGACAGACAGACTCAGGCCAGGCCTCCTGGTGGAGGTTACTACTCTGGGAGGAGACACAGGTATGAAGCCCACTAGACAGGGAGTGGCAGCCTGAAAGGCTGGAGACACAGGCTGATTATGGAATTGTGGCCTGGAGATGTGGATGCAGAGCTCATAATTAGCTGAACTGGTCCATGAACTCCACTCCCCGAAGACTTCACAATCTTGGAGAACCATAGGAGGAAAAAGTGTCCTTGGTCCAGCTCAATGACTTCGGAGTGCCCCCTCTTCGCAGAGGGGAGTTCACTTGGCCTCCTCTAGGCACATATCCACAAGGGAGGCTCTTTCTGTAAAGATTATTTCCACTTAAAAATTCTATTGCAATTTTGATTTATTGAAATAGCATTGATGATGAAATAGTATCAGGAATATCGGCATCCTTATTAACATTTCCCACGCTAGAACCTGAAAAGACCTCCCTATTTGTACATTTATATGTCTGCAAGGAGAACTTCATACTTTTCTTAATATAAGTACTTCTAATTCCTTATGGAGTTTATTTCTTGGTAATTTTTTTTCTTTGCTAATTTGAGTGACATCATTGGCTTCATTTGTTGCTAATTGATTTCTATTGCCATATTAGAAAACAATTAAATTGTATATTTCCATTATCTAGCACTCTTCTTTATTCTGTTTCTAGTTGTTTTTGAGTAGAATTATTTTATCTGAAATCACTCGTCATTGTTAAGAGTAAACACATTGCAGCTATAAAGTGTTTCAAATCGTGCCTGACACAATCAGTCAATAAACCTTTTGGTCAAATCAAGCTATCAGTATTTATATAATGCTAACAATGTGTCCTCTGTATTCAAAGATAAGCAATCTTGGTCTTTCATACTCTATTGACTGGGTTCTCTTCTTCCCTGGTAACCACACTCCTTCCATAACACAGGGAGCCATATGATACAGATGGTTGAGAAGGTACTTGGTCCTTGCCTAAAAGATGCCAAGTGAGGGTTACACCAGAATGCTGCCCACAGCCCCACCTAACCCTATGAGTTCCCCATTCAACCACACCCAATCCTGCCTGTCCTGACTCTTCAGAATGCTTTGATCCTTGGAGGCAGTAGAGTGTAGTATTAAAAAGCCTGGGTTCTGGGGGCTCATTCGGTTAAGTGCCTGCCTTCGGCTCGGGTCATGATCCCAGGGTCCTGGGATTGAGTCCCAAATCAGGCTCCCTGCTCAGTGGGGAGCCTGCATTTCCTTCTGCCTGCCTGCCCCTCTCTCTCTCACACAAATAA